GGGAACTTCCAGGGAAGTTGCGGCACCTGCTGTTTGCAATCTCACATGCTTCACACTTGCTGAGACTTCGCTCCTTCAGCACCGAGGACGCCGGGCGCCTCCTGGCGGCGCAGCGGGCAAAGGTAGGTTCATCGAATTGAGCTCTTGGCCCTTCTCGAGCGTGTAGTCCAGTCGGGCCACTGCGGTGTTCTGGAAAGTTACTCGACTATCTCCTTCTATAGGGAAACGCGTTCATGTCTTTCAACAGCCCCCCTGCCGCGCGTGTTCCCGCCATGGATGGTCGTCGGCCTTCTGCAGGTGGACTTGATCTTCGAAGTGCTTGGAGACAAGCTGGGCACGGTTCACCAGGGATTACATGTCCCAGGAAACATCGACGACCTCGGTGAGCTGCCAAACAAACACTATTTTTTGACGATTCGAGAGTGGTTCGGATTGAAGACGAAGACGCGTCCATGCGTCATTTTTTTGTATGAATCGATTCAAGGGAGAATGACAAGGCATGAATCGGTAAACAGGGGCACTGTCGTCGTGAAGTGTCATAGGTGGTCCTTGGCCGGTCAGAACCACAAAAAAATAAAATAATTAGATGACCGCCGTTGAAAGATAGGCACGTCAGGCACATCTTCGTCGGGAATTAAAGGGTGACCATAAGCCGGGCACTCTGTATCTGCGGGGCTATCTCGACGCAGCCGTTCTTTCTCTGTCTACTGTGCTACAACAGCAAGAGAAAATCCCTACGCCCTAGGAAAAAACAATGCTGCTGTTTTCGACTGTCAAATGGCAACCTGCTGGGTTCACCGGCGGTTGGTCCACGAGGATTCAAACGGACCATGCATTGTGGAGCGATGGCACACCCAGAAGGTACATAGAACTCGGGGTAGCTCTTCAAAACACCGCCGTAGTAGGCATTCTTCGGCGCGAACTCAACACGAACAAAAGTGTCGACGCGTGTAAGGCCGAGATAGCGCGGTCGTGGCGTCACTCGACACTGATCCACTGCTTGGGGGATGAATCCGCTGGGTTCATGAATATGAATACCCTCCGGAGCGTTTTGTGTCGAGACCACTGCGCCGGAGGGCTTTAGCGAGGAACAGAGCTCCAAAGCATCAGTATTGGGAAATTGTGCGCTCGCGTGTGCTCAGAAAAAATTAGTGTGGCTGATTGTGGGCGGTTTTCAACGACCGCGCGAGAGAGATGAGCTCATCATTGCGGATACTCTAAAACAGGTGGAGAGAGCGGCCATCATACAGCCACGTGTCGGGCAGTCGAGCTTGTCTGCTTGTAACCATGGGCAGATCACGTTAACAGCCGGATCCTGAGAGCTCCCGTGACTCGTGTCGCACGCATATGCCCCCCCCCCCCGGAATTTTCGAGTCGCCTGCCTTCTCAGAACACAAGTGAACCTTGTCTTGTTTTCTGTTTGTTTCGTGTCGCCCGCCAAACATGATGCCATCGCATGCCCGCGGTCGCTTTGCCGAAACTCTGCAGGGGAAGCGATCAATGTCAACACGGGAGAAGCACTGCACAAGACTCTCAAGAGCTTCGCGAAGTCGACGAGCGGCCGAGACAACATCGTCCATATCGCCCGCCGCCTCAACACGCGTTTGGCCGCTGACGCGATGATGGAAGGTCTTGCGTGGGAAGCCCGCCGGTACGACAATCGCGACGGCTGGGTTGTGTCAACCGTTCAAGCGAGCAGCCCTTGCCGAAAGCTACTGAAGACCCTGTCCGACACTCTGAGTCATTCCCGGAAGCACGGTGTGGGCAGAGCTAGGGGCACTGTGAACTGGGAGATGAGCATCGCCCAGCACGGGGGGGAACTCGAAGCGACGTCGGGGTCAGAACGGTCTTGGATGAGGGCGCTTGCGATGGCCATGCAACAAACATTTCGACTGGAAGACCTATACCATACGTGGTACTCGTGCGGCAGGCTGCATGGCGTCCAAGCGTTCTGCGGCAAGCCCCAGTGCCCACGGTGCTGGAAGTACAGAAACGTCGGCTTCCGTGAACAACGCGTCCGTTTCTCAAACAACTGGACGGGTGCACCGAGCGAGGTGTCTGGTGGGAGTGGTACACTGCGGGGCGGTAACGTGCAAATCGCCAAGACGAACGACCGCCAATGGATGGCTGAAAGTGGCACGGACGTGGAGATCTACTCCAATCGCGACGCAATGATTTCGAACAAGCCAGGGCCGGCTGGCACCTGCTCATTGGCGAGGGTAGCATTCTTCGCGGAGCACGTCGGCAATCCTCCGCTTGGGGTGGATACAACCGGAGAGAAGACGTTGTGGGTGGCCGTTGCGGAGTACGTGACCGCCGGCATCGGCCAAGACAAGTTCGTCGATGCAGCTACGGGGCACCCAATTATGAGACGAAGGAAGCGGCTGTCCTTTTTCCCGGCGCGGGCTATCCGCCGCGTGGTCCACATGTACCACGTTTGTGTACCAAACAAATGCAAGGCGGTGTCGGACGCGGGCAAGGCGCCGGTCTGGCGCCACGATTTGTCGGGCGAAAACAACCGGTACATCCACAACGAGCACTTTCACAGCGTGGTTTAGCTTCGATGCGTGGTGCGCGTTCGACGGAGGCTTTCGGACCACCAAGCTGGCGCGGTTTCTGCTGCATTTCCCACGCGTTTTGTTTGTTTGTTTTGTTTGTTTGTGGAGCTGATGCGCGGTGCAGGCGGCGTCGATCGATGCCAACCCGTTACCGCCTTTCTCCTGGAGCGACCGCAACAGGTATCGGCGATCGTTATCTCTTCGAGAAATAGTCTGGTGTAGATCGGCGGGTCGGTTGGCGACAATGGGGGGGTGAGTGGGTCCAGAGACCTGTTCACCTTGGCTGCTCTCCATGTGCATACCACGTCACATGGGCAGTCCAGTTTGTTCGCCCTGCTGTGTATGACATGTGCGGTTGAGCTCGAGGCACACAGGGAGCAGGAGATGTTGGTCGACCCTTGGTTAATCAAATGCCAAAAATCCAGAAGCGCTTGCTCGACAAGGCCAAGTCGGCGTCTTGCAAGAATGAGAGGAAGATATAGGGGTGGGAGACCGGGGTGCAAGGGGAAGTCATTTTTTTGTCTGTATCAGTGTGCTTCCTAGAGGACCAAACAAACCCTTCCCTCCGTGTTATCTTCTCCTTGTTCGCCTCCGTTTCTTCTTTCTGGGGGTACAAGGTGCACGGCAGGCACAGCAGCGGCATGGTGTCGAGAGGCATCGGTGAGCGAGCGTGTACACCTGTCTGTCGTACATGTAGCACGTCGAGTGCTCGAAATCGATTTGCAGCCGTATGCCTCCTCTATTGTACAAGCAGTATCTGTTTTGTTTTATATTCAACGGGGCGGGTGTCGTTGGAGCTGGGACAACGTTGGTGTTTGGTAGCGCATGGTTGGTGCGTGACAACGTGCGCTTGTAAGAACGGCCTGGCCATTTTCGGATAGGGAAATGAAAATCGGGTACTCCACCCGGGTTTACTCCACCCGGGTTTGCTTCGTTTCGGCCACCGCTCTTTTTCCAACCGTGACTCTTCCCTGCATATGTGCACGGGAGGCCCCTCGCCCCTCGTGGTCATGAACGTGAAACAACTGAGTCGCCCCATCCCTCGCCCTTCCCTCTCCCCTTATCCGACCATCCTCAGCCGAAACTCCACAAGCATGTGGTCCATTGCTACGGTTATTGTTGCGAGGCGGCGTCGCCTCCACCCTGTCTTGCTTGTAATGTTTCGTGAACGGCAACCAAATCAAGAACACGACCCCCCTCCCCCCCTCCCTCCTGCTTCTATCGCGAGGATGTCCAGGATGAGAGTGACGTCGTCACCGCAGCAGCAGCAGCTGCAGCAGCAGCAGCAGAGTCAAACGAATAAGCCCACAACTGCTGTGCCCGGCCTATCCGTGAATGCCGGCAACTTGTGTTTTGAGTATTCTCCCTCCGGCTCAGAGGACGCGAGAGCAACCGTTCAAGGACCGAATACAGGGAAGATGCGGTTGTGGTGAGAGAGGCAGACTACAGAAGCATGCATTTTTTTTTCTCTTTACGTCATCCCTTTGTTGTTTTACGTCTCATTTTTCCACCTCTGTGGTTTGAACGGCTGACTTCGGCGCGAGAGAGGCAGACTACAGAAGCATGCATTTTTTTTTCTCTTTACGTCATCCCTTTGTTGTTTTACGTCTCATTTTTCCACCTCTGTGGTTTGAACGGCTGACTTCGGCGCGAATCAGGCGAGTACCCCGTCCCTATACGTCGTTCCCCTCTGCTAATTGGTGCGGTTTCAATTGCATCTTGGATCTGCCCTCGCACGCTGTACGTTTTTTCTTTTTTTGTGGCGTTCATTGTTCGATGAAAAAATACAGATTTCTCGTGTTTATCGCGTTCATTTGGCTAACCTTGTGTTTGATGTTTATGTCTCATGTACGCAATCCAGGAAACAGACCATTTTTTTCTTCGCCACCTCTCCCACCGTTGGCAGCCCGCCGTGTCGAAGAGGCGGCTGTTTTCCCCCCTGGCGAGGGTCAGGCACGCCGTAGCATGGCGAGGGATGGGGGGAGGGGGCTCGGCGGGCCGCGGTGCTGGAAGTTCGGAGTTGTGCTTCCCAAGGTGGGGGTCCACAGTACATAAGTAAATGGCGAAAGAAGGCTCTTGATGAGGGCTCGGTGGGAGGGTGGTGGTGGGATTCGATTCCTTCTTGAAGCCCGTCGATTTCTAGTGTTGTGCTCGTTGATTTATCCAGAACCGATCAGGCGGCGCAGATGACAGCCCCGCCTGACATCTCCGCGCTTGCCGCCCACACGAGGTAGGTCTCTGTGTGTCCGTTTATTCACATGGTCGACGATACTTTTAAAGAAAAAATACAAGTACAAACACCGAAAGACTACCCGTTCTTTTGTTGCTGCCGCTGCCGCTGCTTTTGTTGCTGCTTCTTCTGCTTCAGGTGGCGATGGTACGTTCAGGAGCTCGGCACAGTACACGGACCGGAACAGGATGCCGCCGCCACCAATGCCGCCAGTGCTGCTGATAGCGGCAACGCCGGCGAAGGACACCAGGGCGACGTAGCGGCGTAGTGCAGGTGAGGCTGTTGCGGCAGGCCATATCTGGATATGTGTTTTGTTTGGCGGCGGGGGACGGAGAAGCATGCCGTCCATCTTGGAACCAGACCCTGAGCAGTGAATGCGCGAGCGCTCCATACTCGACACCAGCGCCGGATACGTGCTGCTCCACCGATGCTATAATAACAATATCGCGTTGTTATTGATCCTCTCGCCTCTCTCATCGTGTACAAGCCCCTACCATACCCTGATCGTCATCATACCCTCCTCTCCCCACATCAATCAGTCCAAGCAAGGGGCAGCCGCGACGGCTGCGGGGGAGGCGGAGGCGGTGCTGCTATCGTCAACGGAGGGGGAAGGCGGTGCGAGGCACCAACTATAGGCAGGTATAGTTGCTTCCTCTGTTCTTGCGGCCTCATCCGTCCCGCAGACGTATAGCTGCTTGCGTAAACACCTACGTAGAGTAGAGTCCAGCAAGCATTGCATGCACGCTGCGCCAAGGGGTGTCGTTTGGTTCATGTCCGCCTGCTTCATATGAAGTGTGATCCCGGCTGAGTCATCCTGAAAAACACACCAAATGGTGGACCGGTTGGACGAGACAGACAAACAAAAACGACAAGGTAACGCGTGTCCTTTTGGCGATTGTTGCCCTGCGTCAAGATTCCGAGGCGTCTTTTGATTTTGTGGACAGCCGGCCGGTCGGCGTGGTTGGTGCTTGCTATGTATGACGGAAACCCGCACACACGTGTGCCACAGTTTGTTGGGTGTGTGTTTCGCGTTGTTCGGTCGTGTTTGCGTACCAGTTCCAGCTGGGTCGAGGCCGTGTTTTATGAATAACTTTTTATGCGCGACGCCGTTCGTGAGGCTCGTGCCCCCTGTCCCTGCCTATGTCCTTCTCGCACACACACACACCCCTCAACAACATGCGTACCTCGCCTCCTCCGAGTACGTGTCGCCGCCGATCCTTCTCGCGCACCCCCACCTTATCTATGCCACTCGTACCCGCCGTCGTGTCTATCGCTGGCCTACTATCGTTCCGTGTTACCCCCCTCCTCCCATAAAGGAGCGAGGGCACCCCCACCTTATCTATGCCACTCGTACCCGCCGTCGTGTCTATCGCTGGCCTACTATCGTTCCGTGTTACCCCCCTCCTCCCATAAAGGAGCGAGGGCTGGCGCTCCAACCCCGACGCCGTCCCCCCGGGGCACCAGGAAGGAGAAGCGGCACATCACCTTCGGCAACGCGGTGATACGCTGGCGGCGAGACTCGCGTGGAGAGGCTGGTGGCAGGACAAAAGTTGGGCGCCTGGAGCTGGATCGCAAATCGTCCGGTTGGGGGAGGGACCGGGCCAACCCGGATCGTTGCGCCTCCGGTGCGTCCGTCATCCGCGCTCTTTCTGGGAGAGAGATCGCCCATCGGAGAGAAACCGCCAGCCCTCGATCTGCTGTGATCTTCCTGTTGGCTTATCAGTATGGTTGCTGTAGATTTGTCGGCAGCCTCGCTCTCCGGGCTGGCGGACGACTGCCTTTTGTGTTTCGTAGAAGCACAGTACAAGAACATATGTTTAACGCAATTCTCTGGACACAAGTTCTTCGTGACGGGCTTGGTATACCGGGAACTACTGTAGTACGTCGCGGAAGGTGCTAGAAATCACCAACCCGCCTTGCGAGGCACGGCAAGAATGACATGGTTCGACTCCGAGGTGGCCTTCCGGCAATTTTTCACCCTGGGCAACGTCCTTCTACGGTCCAGAAATCGCAGACATGGTTCGCCTGTGTGGTGACCTTGGGGCTTTTCAACCTTGCCCAGGGTGCGTGCAAGGTTACAGTTCCGCTGGACCTTCCACAACGTTCGACTTGTTTTACCTTGGGGGCACTTTTTACCTTGCACAAGGTGCTTCTAAGGATCCAGAGATCGTAGGCCTTGGACATGGTTCGCCTGTGTGGTGACCTTGGGGCTTTTCAACCTTGCACAAGGTCCTTCCAAGGATCCAGAGATCGTAGAGGAACCTGTACCAAGCGGACTGTGGTGACCTTGGGGCTTTTCAACCTTGCACAAGGTCCTTCCAAGGATCCAGAGATCGTAGACCTTGGACATGGTTCGCCTGTGTGGTGACCTTGGGGCTTTTCAACCTTGCCCAGGGTGCGTGCAAGGTTACGGTTCCGCTGGGCCTTCCACGACGTTCGACTTGTGTTACCTTGGGGCACTTTTTAACCTTGGGCAAGGCCCTTCCAAGGATCCATAGATCATAGACCTTAGACACGGTTCACCTTTGGGGTGACCTTGAGCCTATTTTACCTTGACAAGGTTCCCACAAGGTATCTCCAAGGTAAAATTTGTGGGTCAACCTTGTCAAAGGGGGGGGTAGCGTCCACCTGTGTTACGACTTTCTTCGACGACGGTGGGACATACACGTTCCCTAGAAACAAATCTTTCTCACCCCGCACCCCAGGTATCTGAAGCCATAAGCTTTCCTCAAACTCCGTTTTCACCACTACTTCCACCACGTTAAACAAGTGTTCCTTGACCAGGAATCTGACTTCCCCCTCCCCGCTTTTCTTCGGTCTAAGCCTTTTCTTGCCTTCCCTACCCACCGGTATTTCTCTAGTTTGCTTACCACGTCCCCATCCTTCAATTCCCGCTTCTCTTGGATCCCCACCACATCTAGATGGCTTTGTTCTACTTGGTCCACTATTTCCAACCGCTTACGCTTACTCCTTGCGAACCCGCACACGTTCCACGACCCGACTCTCAGCTTGTGCTTTTCCCTATTGGTGATTTTGCGCACTCTATCGTTCGCCTTCCGCTTCTTCTCGGACTTCTTCTGACTTGCTTGCTCGCCTGCCCCGCTCGGTCCTTTCTTCGCCTCCGTCGCCCTCGCCTCTTGTCTCCTTACCTTCGCTGTTTCTATCATGTTCGCCATGCAAACCTTCCATCCAAACTTCCTTACGTAGTTCGACACCTTCTCGATGTCAACCCCCAAGCACTCTTGGCTGTCTCCCTTGTTCGATTTCACGCGGAAGCGTTCATGTTCTCTGCCTACTTGTCGCCTTGCTACACAGTGCAGTCCCTCCCTGTCACAACTGTTCTTGAACTCTATCCTCGTCATGTCCCTTGGAATCCCAAACAGCAGCAGCTCCAACTTGTCTCCCTTCCACAGTTTCTGCTTCCATCCTCCCGGCTTCTTCGCCATCATCATGATCTCTACGGTAACTGGACCGTGGCCACTTGCTCTTCGTGTTTTTTCAGGAAGGTATACGGAATACTCGGCCTTCCCAATCCGAGTGTCTGGCGGGGGTTGTGGTTCCTTTCAGTTCTTTTGCCGGCTCACCGACGCTAATTAGCGCCTCCAACATAGGCTCGTAGTCTAGATCCAAGTTCACACCTCCTGACACAAGTACCCCAGTCTTGTGCCGGGCGCTCTGCTTAGTTAACACCCAGACGTCCCCCGACCACCCAATTTATCATCTCCGAAGTCCCGCGGTACAGGCTACTTTCCTCCTGGGAGGTCATTTTCACCACAATAAGTTCAGGGACGACTTGCATAGCCTAAGATCCTACTCACACGCCGGGATGGGGCGTACACCAACGTCCAGCTTCTCATGTACGCTCCACCATGGGTTGCTACCCCACTTACGCTCCCGAGTAGACCTATCTGCCGAAAGTTTGGCCAACAATTCCTTACTGCTTTATACTCGCCTCTCTCCAATCGAAAACAATGCATTGTGCGTGCCGCACATGTAGCTCCGCAGTTTCTGCGTGGTTGGTCC